CCTAACCTGTCCTTCCTCCCACCTATCCCCTCCTCCCACCTCAAGCCCCACCCCCATCTCCTACCGACCAACCTCATCCCGCCCCCTTGACCTGTCCGTTCTCCCTGGACTGACCTATCTCCTTCCTAACTCCCTACCTACACTCACCTTTACTGGCTCCATCCCCGCCTCTTTGATCAGTCTGTCTCCTCTCCACCTATCTTCTCCTCTATCCATCTTCTATCCGCCTCCCCCTCTCTCCCTATTTATTTCAGAATCCCCTTCCCCTCCCCCATTTCTGAAGAAGGGTCTAGGCCCGAAACGTCAGCCTTCCTGGTCCTCTGATGCTGCTTGGCCTGCTGTGTTCATCCAGCTCTACACCTTGTTATCTCAGATTCTCCAACATCTGCAGTTCCTACTATCAAGAAATACAAAGTTACAGCTGCAGAGAAGGCGTACAAAAAGCAAGATCAACATTAGATTTGAAATTTGAGAGGTCCGTTCAGCAGTCTAATTAACAGTGAGGAAGAAGATGTTCTTGAATCTGTTGCTACATGTGTTTAAGCTTGTGTATCTCCTGCCCAATGGAAGAGATTGGAAGAGATATTAACCGGGTTGGCAGGGGTCTTTGATGATGTTGGCTGCCTTTCCTGAGTTAGCGGGAAGCGTGGATGGAGTCGATGGAAGGAAAGTTGGCTTGAGTGATGGTCTGGGCTGTCTTCACAACTCTGTAATTTCTTCCGGTCCCAGGCAGAGCCACACAAGCCGTTATGCACCCAGATAGAATGCTTTCTATTGTGCTTCTGTAAAGGTTGGTCAGGGTCATCATGGACATGCAGAATTTCCTTCGCCTCCTGAGGAAGAAGAGACATTGTTGTGCTTTCTTGACCATTGCATCTACGTGGGTGGTGCAGGACAGATTAGACAATGGTGTTTCCAGAAGATGGCTGGCCACCCCCTTCTCGAGGGGCAACTGGAGACAGTGGAGTGGGCAATGGGCAATAAATGCCAGCCAGCAATGCCCACCTCCCAGGAGTGAACAGGAACAAAAGTGGGGAAAGGGGATCTGGAAGGCAGGCAGGCAGGACTCAATTTGTGGACCATATTTTTGAGAAGACAGCAGCGAGAGGCTGCAGAGGTTACAGGTGAAGATCTAGAGGAAGCCTGGCTGGTGGTGCAACATGAAGAACAGGAGTGGATCTCAAGGGGCAGATTGGCAGCGGTTGGCATGGTCATAGGTGCAGAGCGATGGGAAAGCATCACTGAAAGAGAGACCCTCCAAGCCAGGCATGAGATCAGCCTGGTTGCCCTGGTGCAAGAAATCTGGGAGCCATCAGAACAACAGGGGGTGCACCAACTGGACACTCATGAGGTGCAGATGCTGGAGGTTGGTGTGTGGAATGACAAGGATGAACAAGATCAGGAACCAGCATACAGGGGAGTGTGATGGAATATGCCCCACTTGCCTGGATGAGTGCAGCTCCAACAACACTCAAGAAGCTCAACACCATCCAGGACAAAGCAGCCCGCTTAATTGGCACTACATCCGCAAGCACCCACTCCCTCCACCACCGACGCTGAGTAGCAGCAGTGTGTACTATCTACAAGATGCACTGCAGAAATTCACCAAAGATAATTAGATAGCCGTTTCCAAACCCATGACCACTTCCATCTAGAAGGATAAGGACAGCAGATACATGAGAACACCACTGTTTGCAAGTTCCCCTCCAAGCCACTCACCAACCTGACTTGGAAATATATCAAGGATAACACAGTGTGGAGCTGGAGGAATACAGCAGGCCAGGCAGCATCAGAGGAGCAGGAAAGTTGACATTTTGGGTTGGGACCCTTCTACAGAAAAGACCTTTCTTATCTCTGACTCTACCATCTGCAGTTCTGACTATCTTGGAAACTTATTAACATTCCTTCACAGTTTCTGGATCAAAATCCTGGAATTCCCTCCCTAAGGACATTTTTCCCGGGTGATCTGCCCTGAATGAAGTGGGTTGAGGGTTAAATGTCAGCAAGCTGACAGGGAGCCATTAGGAAAGCGCTGCGGAAGCAGGTGGTCTGAAACAAAAACCAGAATGTGCTGGAGAGCCAGTCTAGCAGCACCTGGTGGAGAGAAGCACACTGGACTCAAATGCTCACTCTTTATTCTTTCCACAGATGCTGCCATGCTAGCACTCTGTCTCCATTCACACCAGGACCTCGTCTCCAGTTTGTGCTGGGACCTCACCTCCAGGCTTCGTTGGAACCTCACCTCAAGGCCTGGCTGGGACCTCACCTCTGGTCTGGGCTGGGCCTCACCTCCAGGCCTGGCTGGGACCTCACCTCCAGGCCTGGCTGGGACCTTACCTCTGGCCTGGGCTGGGCCTCACCTCCAGGCCTCACCTCCAGACCTCGCTGGGACCTCATCTCCAGACTGCATCCATCTTAGCTGGGGGCTGCCTGTTCTCACCGCTGACTGTGGGGTCCTCACTCTCCTCTGCACTGATCTCCTCCGTGCTGCACAAAACCGCTCTCCACAGAAGGTAAGTAGATTAAAGTAAGGAAAACAAAAGTGAAAGAAGGGAAAAAGTAAAAGCAGGTGGAGCAGATGATGCAGGAGCCCTCACACCGTGATGCTGGAGATTGAAGGTCAGGGGCAGGAGGTTTAGAGAGGACATGAGGAAGAATATTTTCACCCAGAAGGTGGTGGGTATTTGGAACTGTCAGGATGGCTGAGGCAGAAATCCGCATCACATTGAAGAAGTCTTTAGATGTGCACTTGTTGATGCCAAGGCTGTGGGCCAGGTGCTGGGAAATGGGATGAGAATAGTTAGGTGGTGATTTTTGACCAGCACAGATCTCCTGGGGCTGAATGGCCTCTTTCTGTGCTATGGACCTCTGCGACTCTATGATGCAGGGATCAGGGGTTTGGATGAGATGAATTGTCCAAAGGATGAGCGTTGAGCTGGAATAGTTGCGTGTAGAGGTGATATGGGCAAGGATGAGGATTTCCACAATGGAAGCGAGCTCAACAAAATTCCACCCAACTCCATTCAGCCCCCAGAAGCAGCCTTTTAGTATCCAGTCTGACTTCCGTGCGCTTCAATTTCTATGCATCGGTTTTGTACAGAAGGTTGCTGAGGCCTCTTCTGGAGTACTGTGTGCAGTTCTGGTCACCCTGTTATAGGAAGGATATTATTAAGCTAGAGAGGGTTCAGAGACAATTCACCAAGATGTTGCCAAGAAATGAGGGTTTGAGTTACAAGGAGAGATTCAATAGGCTGGGACTTTTTTCACTGGAACATAGGAGGTTGAAGGGTACTTTATACAGGTTTATCATATCATTAGGGGTATAGATAAGGCAAATGGCAGGTGTCTTTTCCCTAGTTCAAGACTAGGGGGCGTATTTTTAAGGTGAGAGGTGAACGATTTAGAAGGACATGAGAGAGAATTTTTTTTTTAGACAGCGGTTTGTTTATGGAATGAACTCCCAGAGGAAGTGGTAGATGCTGGTACAGTTCCAACGTTTAAAAGACATTTGGATAAGTACATGAATAAGAAATGTTTGGAGTGATATAGGCCAAATTCGGGCAGGTGGGACCAGTTTAGTTTGGGATTATGTTCAGCATGGACAGGTTGGACCGAAGGGTCTGTTTCAGTGCTGTATGACTTTGTGGCTTTATAACACATTGAAGAAGAATTTGTGCGTGTGTAACTTTTAAAGGAAGGCATTCACTCCTTTAACGGGGATGGTTAGAGGCTGTGTGAAGGGGTGCGATGAGACTTCTCTCACTTTGTAGTGCCATGCACAACAGCATTCTGGAAGTTCAACACAGCAGTCTCCTTCATCAGCCTGTAGCCAGGTCTCCATCCTTTCCATCACTACATTTTGAAATATTAACAATCAGCAAGTCTGCTACACCGCAAGCGTTAGGAACAGAAGTAGGCCATTCAGCCCATCTAGCCTGCTGTGCTATTCCACAGGATCATGGCTGTGGCCTCAACTCCACTTTCCTAACCACCTTCAATTATCTGTGCAAAGAAAAACACAAAGAACTGTGAACATTGTAAATCAGAAACAGAAACAGAAATAGTTGGAAAAACTCAGCAGGTCTGGAACCATTTGTGGACATAATAACCTGATGTTCGATGGTGGGGTCATCGTCCATGGGGAGACAGGAGGAGGTGACCGAGAGCTGGCACTTTAAAGTCAAACAGGTGGCTCTGGGTACCTGCATGGCCCCCAGTTATGCCTGTTTCTTTGTGGGCTACGTGGATCATTTCTTGTTTCAGTTCTACTCAAGCTCCCACCCACAACTCTTTGTCTGGTATATCTATGATATCATCGGGCTGTTTCCCCCTCTCATCTGGATTGGAAAAGTTTATCAATTTCACTTCCAATTTCCACCCTGCTCTCACCTTCACCTGGTCTATCTCTGATTCCTCCTTTCCCTTCCTCAACATCTCTGTTTCCACCTCCGGGGACAGACTTGCCGCCAATATCCACTATCAACCCACTGATACCCACAGCTTCCCTGACTATACATCCTCACACCCTGCTTCGTGTTCCATTCTCTCAGTTTCTCTGTCTCTCCCAAGTCTGTTGCTAACTTATACAAGGCAGCCTCTGAAATGTCCACCTTCTTCCTCAACCGAGGATTCTCCACCACCGTTGTTGACAGGACCCTCAGCTGGGTCTGACCCACCTCCCGCACTATACCCCTCACCTCCTCTCTTCCCTCCCACAGCAGCGATAGGGTCCCCCTTGAACCCTCACCTACCATCCCACCAGCATCCACATCTGGAGAATCATTAGCGCTATTTCTGCTACCTCCAGCAGGATGCCACCACCAGGCACTTATTCCCTTCCCCTCCATTGTCAGACTTCCACAAGGATCATTCCCTCCAGGACACCTTGACCCACACCTCCTCCACTCCCAACGCCCCCTTTTCCCCCCCCCCCCCCCCACCCCACAGACCCACGGCACCTTCCCCTGCAATTGCAGAATGTGTAGCACCTGCCCATTTACCTCCTCCATCCTCACTATCCGCAGCCCCAAACACACCTTCTGGGTGAAGCAACACTTCACCTGCACTTCTCACAATCCAGTCCATTGCATTCGCTGCTCACAATGTGGTCTCCTCTACACTGGGGAATCGAAGTGCAAAAAAGACTCTGAGCTTCCAGTTGCCTGCCACTTCAGCACACCACCCTGTTACCTGGCCAACATCTCTGTCTCAGCCTTGCTCAGCGCAAGCTGGAAGAACAGCACCTCATTTTCTGCTTGGGAACCCTTCAGCCTTCAGGACTTGATATCATGTGCAATAATTTTAGGGCTTGAGGCACCTTCTCCCATGTCCTTAGCCCCAGGCCTTATCATCACATGGGCTACTACCACACACAGCCCATTGTCAGCCACTGGTAGTCCCCATTAGCAGCTTTTAATTCTCCAAGACCTTTACCCTTTCCAATTGTCCAATGCCCAACTGTGTTTCTCTCTCTGGGCTCCATCTCCACCTGTAGGATTCTTGAGGAGTTTGAAAGGGTAAGTGCTGAGAGGATGCTTCCCTCCTGACCCAGGGAATGGTCTCAGACCAGAGATCATAGTGCACCAATTTAAGACTAAGATGAGGAGGAATTTCTTCTCTTAGAGGGTTCTGAGTGTTTGGAACCCCTTGCCACAGAGAGATCTATGGGGGCAGAGTCCTTGTGTATATTTAAGGCTGAGAGAGACAGAGTCTTGATCAGTTGGGGAATCAAGGGTTACAGGGAAAGGGCAAGAATGTAGATGTGAGGAATGTCGGATCCGCTATGATCCTATTGAATGATGGAACCAGCTCAAGGGGCCGAACGGCCTACTTCTGTTCCTAGTTCTCATGATCTTGTGGTCTAAGATGCTATCAGGAAATCCATCAGGACATGGGAACCTGTCAGCTTCTAGTTCCAATGATTTTCACCACACAATCTCCCTGGTGATTGAAATTGTTTTACATTCCTTTTTGCTTTTCACATACTGATTCACAAATATTTCTGGATGTTACTTGTATCTCCTGCAGATATAAATGATCTGTTCAAATCATCTGCCATTTCCTTATTCATTAATTCCCCAGACCAACTCTCCAGAGGATCAGTGATTAACTTGCTAGCTCTTCTCTTTTTTGAAACTTGGAGAAATTCTTAGCATCTCTTTTGCATTCTAATTTCTCCTTCCTTTTCATTCTTTTAGCCATGCTTTGATGTCATGTATATTCTGTCCCATTTTTCAATCTGTTCTACTCTTTTGTGGAATTTCATTACTTTTTCAGTCAATTTGACTTTATCTTTAACTTCCTTAGTTAGCTATGGATGGTGTGATCTTCCCAAATGTTTTTCTTTCTCCCTTTTCTATTTTTGCTAAGTGTTATAAAAGATCTCCTTGAATGTTTGTCAGTGCATCCCTACTGACCCCATAACCCTTCACCTAATTTCCCAGTTCACTTTAGCAAACTCTGTCTTCATATTCTTATCGTGGTCTTTAGTTAACTTTAAAATACTAGTTTTAGACCCACTCTTCTTTGTCTCAGACTGAAGAGAAATTCAATCATGTTACAGTCACTGCCAGTAATGAACATCTTTACTCTGAGATCATTAATTCATCTTGTCTTATCGCACATTGTCAAATCTGGAATAGCCTGCTCTCTGAACAGCTGTAAAATGTGCTGCTGTAAGACACTATCCCGAAAACACTCCATAAACTCATCTTCCGGGTTCACTTTCACCATTTTGCCTCATCTATGCAGTGTACAATCACTCATGATAATCAGCGTCCCATTCGTAAAAGCCCCCATTATTCTCCCTCTATACCCTGTCTTATAGAGTGCTTACTGTCAGGGGCATATAAACCACATTCAAAATGACATCCTGTCTTTACTGTTGCCTATTTATACCCAAACATGTTCTACATCATGATCTTTAGAACTAAGGCCATCTCATTCTCTATTGTGCAAATGTCATCCTTAATTAACAGAACTTTCCCTCCTACTTTCCTGCAGTTTCCCCCAGTTTCCAGTCCTTCCAAAGTGATATATATATATATACTCAAGTATTCAAGGCCCAGCCTTTTGTCACCTTATATCCATGTCTCTGTAGTGCCTCTGCAAGACATACATGTTTGATTCCATTTAAGCTGTTGTTATGAGTGCTATGTATGTTTATTCCTTTGGGCCGACAAGTGGCAAGTAACATTTGCGCAAAATGAATGACAGGCTAGGACCATCACCAATAAGAGAGAATCTAATCCCTAATCCTTTGCATTCAATGATGTTACCATCACTGAATCCCCAACTATCAACATCCTGGGGGTTACCAGACCAGAAACTCAACTGGACTCACCACATAAACACAGTGGCTACAAGAGCAGATCAAAATGTAGGAAGTAACTCATCTT